CCAGCACTAGGCCGAACAGACATATTCACTCCATCTCCATTTCTGTTCCAACTCACTTTCTCATTCGCACTATCATGGATCTGTCAATGCCCTGAGCCCTCCTCAGAGTCACCCTGAGAACATAGTTGATGGGATTAAAATCAGTGACAAAGGCGCTGAGCTCCCCTCCCCACCCGCGGGCCGCCAGTCCTCCGTCATCCTTGGCATGAGGAACACACATGGCAGTACATTAGCAAAAGCTAAGCATGCACCTGCTCATGAAGATTGTCAGGGGCCAGTTTTGTCCATTCATGGTTGGACAAATATATGAACTTATCAGTTGTTTGCACTATATTAAATAAAGTTGACACAGAAATATTCCCTTTATCAGTGTAAGTATTGGATCAGATCAGTTCGGTTCTCGTCATCGCGTCACGGAGTTACTGTTACGTAACGATGACGTGGCATCTTCCTCATCCACTCGCTGAATGCCTTGAGTTTTTCTTTTTCCTGTCTCACAACATGGAACAAGGACTCGATGACGATTCTCTTGGTGCCCCCCGCCAAGGGCTTGGAGCGGCCGACACGCCAAGCATGCGTCCGTTCAGTCGCTCCTCCTCTCCGTCGTGGACTGGCAGCCAACTGGCAGCGCCTCCTAGTCGTCTTGGAGTTCTAAAAGACTTGGGCCTCGTCGCCCCCGGGCCCCGTTCACCCTCCCCTCGCCATGCGCCTACCGCTGCTGCTTGTTGTTGCCCCGGCGCTCGTCGCCGGCGTGCTCGTCTCGAACCGGGACGTGCCGGCGCCGCAGTCGTCGCCGGTGCCCCCGCAGCCGTACACGCCCGCGTTCCACTGCCCGGAGTACCTCACCGTCGCGCGCGACTGGGCGTACAACATCGACGCCGTCACCCCCAACACCGCCGTCGGCAGCCTCTACTGCGACGGCCTGCTCGAAGACGGCGTCCGCGCGCTGTGCTACTTCTCCCTCGTGCGCCCCTTTCCTTTTCGTGTTCCCCTTATGGCCCACTGACGCGCTGCAGGCGGACGGGACGGGCATCCCGGGCATCTCGACGACACAATGCGACCCCGAAGCCGTCGCCCGGTCCGGGCCGAGCGCCGACGCGTGCCCGTGGCTCTGCCCGCGCACGGACACCGTCGGCCGCTGGCTCACACGCTCCGGGACGTACCGCGCCGCGAGCGCCGGCACCGACGGTAACCCCGACGCGCTCGGCGTCGCGTGCTTTTACGACAACACCGACTGCGAGTACTCCGTGCGTAGTCTTCCCCCCGTCCAAGTTGGGATTCCGATGATGCTGACCGGATGCACAGGCGGCGACGGGCCTGTACGTCCTCCGGGTCGGCGCACCGCCGAACGACTGCCCCGCGATGGCGATCGGCTCATGTACCCCCTTACGCCGGCGCTACCGCGCGGAGGACAACTTCACCGCGATGCTCCGCCGGAACGCGGCGCGCGCAGTGCCGGCGGGGAGTAGACGCGCATTGGCCGCTAGGGGTGTGTAGATTCATTGATGAGTCATCTGTCGTCGACTTAGAGTATGCTCCAATTGATACCTGATAATTGCTTGTTCAACGTGGTTATGCCTCCAGCGTACAACGAGTATAGAAGGTGATCCATTCACTCAGCTTATCGGGTTTATGTCGGATCATGATCATCAGTGGCACTCGGTGACGTGAGATCGGGAGTTTCGGCGCCGACGAGGCTTCCATGCCAACCATATCCTGGCTTACTTACCCTCTCGTGCTCTCGAGTCTCAGCTCGTCGCCGTCGCTCTCTCCCCGGACCACGGATACGGCATGCCAGGGAGCGCGCCGACGGATGCACCAGTTCAAGTTTTTCGCCAGTGCTCGCGGAGTCTGGGCCTGGGGTCTTTACCCTCCCACAGCCATTGGGTGAAACACCGCAGTCGTCCTCATCCGATGACTAGCGCATTGAAGTTAACCTAGGGACATCGCATCAACATCGCATGGGTGGTCACGACGGTGACTCGGACTGGTGGGGTGCACCGGTGTCGTTGGACTCGCGGAGCACCTGCTGCCGAGCCTGCGCACGCTCATCAGCCTTCCTCGATGCAGCGGGAGATTTGTGCACCCCCTCCATTACTGCGTTGTGGGGGGACAACACAGCCGCCAGTAAGCGCAGGATCGCACCAAGGCAATTTGCAAATTACGATTGGTGGCTTCGCCGCCAGCGACACGGGCAGGAGTGTGGTGGTATAAAAGCTGGCGCTGGGACGAGATGGGGACAGAAGCACTCGACCCACCATGTTGGCCACCACCCTCCTCGCTCTCGCGTTCGCTGCCCTCTCTGCAAACGCATTGACCGTCCCCGGTGAGCCCTCGTTTGGCCCCGCTCAACCCCAGGACTTATACGGCGGGTGGACAGGCAACACCCTCGAGAAGCGCGTCGAATACTGGGGCTGCTCGGACGAGCAGAAAAGTCAGCTCATCGTGGCATATAGCCAGGCGCAGACCTACGCCAACAACGCGGTGAACTACCTCGAGACCCGCGGCGACACCCCGCGCTACAAGGCGTGGTTCGGCCAGTTCGACCAGGGCGTCCACGACGGCGTGCTCGCCAACTTCCGCAAGATCGCCCAGGCCCAGTTTGGGTCGTTCACGGCATGTCGCCCCGCTCCGCCCCGCGATTCGTTGCTTTGCTGACTGTTTATTAGTACAACTGCGGGTGCGACAGCCCGTACGCGTTCACCGGCGTCCAGCCGGACAGGTTCCCCGTGATCGACGTCTGCCCGCGCTTCTTCAGCGCCGCGCCGCCCGCGGGCTCGTACTCGCAGGGCGGCCTCCTCATCGCCGCCGCATCGCAGTTCAACCAGCTCTCCGCAACGGACGTCTACGCGTCCGGCAAAGACGCGGCGCTCACGCTCGCGGCGCGCGACAGCCGCAAGGCGTACGTTCTGCCCCCACCTCCGAGAGCATCCCCCCCCCACTGACCCCCCGTCCATGCAGCGCACGCAACTCGGACAGCTACGAGTTCTTCGCCGAGAACGCCGACCCCACCCGCGACTGAGCACTGCGGGATAGACACGCCCGGGACTAGTATGAGTACATGTACAGTCCTATTCTTGTTGTTGCTTAGCTCGGACTTCAGCTATATATAATGATGTTTTATATTTCCGTGATGCCACTGCCCTGGCACACTGACAGCTACAATGTAGTAAGTCTAGTGCTGTCCACAATTATATTATGCCAGATTATATTCTGAGTATAATCAATTAAATATGATTATTCCATAATCATCCATAAAAATATGATTATGAATAAATATAATTATAATTACATTATGCCAAGGTTATATTTATATCATATTTTGATGGTATCGGGCCCATCAACTCCTCACAAATCACTCATTGTCAGTATTTTTCACCTATTACAGAAAACAAGATATAAGAATGAAAATTGTTCTTATTCTCCAGTGAGTTAAAAGTAGCGAGGAGCAAATTTGGTCAAGTTGGCAGGATTTAATCAGATCATGTGATTAATATTGTTCAATCACACATTAGTTTACCTGTACCTTTCATGAATACCAGCCATTGTAACATATAATGGATAGGTAAAAAGTCTAATCTCAGCTAATTGACATGTATTTATAGTGTTACAAGTGGGCCTAAAATAATCAATTATATTCTGAGTATAATCAAATATATACTCAATGATTATGAGTATGATATGATTGAGGACAAAGACCATGATTATGATATGGATATGAGTATATTATGAAGATTTCATAATTATATCCATGATTGGACAGCACTAAGTAAGTCTGGTTACTACTCATCCTCCTTGTATCCTCTAAGTATGCTGGCCATTTGCATGCAAGGGGAGGATGATGGCCTTAAATCGGGTCATAGTACTATAGTGCCGTCCAATTATAGGTATATTTACAAAATGTTCACAACATACTAGTACTCAGATCCATATCATAACCATTATTATTACTCATATATTAAGCAGATGTCATGTGAATGTATGCACATGTTTGGTATGGGCCCTAGCAATTCATTTGCTCCACATTTCCATTTTTGGGGCCACTGCTGTTAAAGCCCCAAATTGGTAACAAAAGCTGTATATGATGATATCTTGCACCCAGTACTATAAAAATGTTATATCTAGAGTTATTTGCCATGACACGTAGGTGTGTACTAAGTATTCTTAATTTACCTGCATATAAATAAATAAGTATATAAAGTTTACTGACTTGGGTTGCAATCTATATAGATAATAGTAGACCAGATATTGAAGAGGGTTATAAGAAATGCACCTAGTGTTTCATTGGCCTTGGCTTGGCCCGAAAGCCATAGCTTTGGCCTGGCTTGAGCTTTGAGGGCATATAATCCAGGCCACAAGGTCTGGCTTGGGCCTGGCCTTGTCCTGGCCTTGGCCTAAGCCATGGCTTTACTTCATAAGTTTTGAAGTTTACGTAGATAAAATTCAACGGGCTTATATTATACTACAGACTCATAGTTATCTGGAGCATCATCAATGAAGCAATCCCATCCCTCTGTCTCATCGTCTAACTCAGTTGTGTCCTTGTTGTCCTCGTCATCCACACCTGCATTTCGGAACAGGGCCATCGACCGATGCAACGACTTGAGGATTTGCAGAGCTTCGACAATGTCGCCTTTCAAGCAGTTGCGGCGCTTGCTGATAGTGATCCCACCAGCCGAGAATGCGCGTTCGCTCGAAACAGACAAAGCCTGGACTGCCAGGTGGTCTCGGGCAAGAGATCTCCTTGTGGGAAATCGCCCAAGAGTGGACTAATAAGGGTTCAGCTTCAGTATGCTCCAAGAAACTAATGACACTCACTCCCCACCATTCTGCCAACTTGGTGTTCTCTGCTATAATTTCGGGTCGCGAGTCGTAGTCAACCACGGCTGCTCGGGATCTTCATGGATTGACTCCATATCGTTGCTGTCGATATCATTGGTTGCAGAATCAAGCTCGTGAAGCAGTGCGGCAATTCCGGAGGCACCCATGACAGTGTTCGGTCAGTCTATGGGCTGTGTGAGATTGGTGACAGGCCCATTAAGCTTCTCCCAACGCTCCTTGAACTGTGTTGTTTGGGTCAGAAAGCCCCAAACCGAATAATATTCACTGCACAAACCGTCTTCTCCGCTGTCTGTCGGGCCTCGGCCGCTAGTTCTTTGCCCCAGTGCTTGAGGAAGTACCGTCCCTTCTGATGTGGATCCAGGACTACTCGCCTATCTATCAGATTGGGAGTTTAATGGGAACTGGAACACACACCAAGGGCGATAACATGTGCAGAAGATTTCGCTGTTTTAATATAATACTCGTTGATCTTCGCTGCTCCGGCTTCGAGAGCTGGCCGGAAAAGTTTGAATATGTCGAGTCCGGCGCGTTTGGTCCACGCCGCATGAAGCGCTTCCGATGCAGGAATGGCATTATGAAGCGTCGGGATCGTTCCAGATGAGAACGACTGCTGTGCGTTATTGGCATGCTGTGGAAAATGTGAGCGAGAATTTTTCAGCTCAAACAATGCCCCGCACCTGAAGCAAGCTCGCGAATTTAATCGCCCGCTTCCATTCACTTTCTGTCAAGTTAAGGGAGCGTAATTTTGTCCGTTCGTCTGCAGTACTGGCTTGAACGGTAAGCAGCTCAATGAACTCCGGGATAAACTAACAAGGATGAATATGAGTCGAGTCTATGCCAATGAAGACCATGCTTACCTCGCGCCTCTCGAGTGCTCATACAATCATGTTTTGTGTCGACGTCCATCAAACCTTCATGTCAAGAATAAGTTGCTGAGGCATCCCAGGATCCGGAGGTATTGATGATTCCGTCTGTATCATGTCGCCAGTGCGAAGGGTCTTTTGGAATTCAATTGCACGCGTCCGCCGATTAACAGCCTCTGCTTGAATTCGGAGAAAGAGCTCTTTCCGCTTGGATGAAGAGCGCTCCTATAATTTGGAACTCCATGAGCATTATATCAACTCTGACAATATCATTACCTTCACAGCGATGGCCCGGATGAGCCCAACTTTGTCACAAATATCAGCAACCATATTGGGGAGGTGGTTTTCAGGGTTTTTGGGGTCAAAATGGGGTGACTTGCTATACGTGGAGATGAATGCTTGTGTTGCGAGGTTGATAATATGCGCCATGCAGCTGTTTTCAAGTATTAGTTAAGTTATTGTGCTTGGAGAAAGAGCTTACGGAAGATGACGTTCATCAGCATCCCATTGCGCGAACGAAGATTTGCGGACCGTTGATGCATTATTAGTTGCATTATCTGTTGTAAGATAACCAATCTATACAGGTTCAGCGAACGGTACAGTATCAAAAGAAGTTACTTACCCGGGTTTGTACGCCGAGTCGAGTGGCAATCTTATATAGCGCTTGACCCAGACATGTTCCATGATGAGCATTGTTTACTCAAACAAACCCAATAATGGCTTCGTGAGTCTCCCATACGCCCCGACTAACTTCCTCAATCCATGCAGCAGTACAAGTAAAGTAAGAATCATTATTATCGGCCTGCCAGCAATCATCCGTACATGAAAGCTCTCCTGTTACAGTTGGGCCCTTGAATTCATAGGTAAGTTATCGAAGGGAAATGTCAAAAGGCTTACATTCAGCTTCTCCTTCAAGAACAGCATACGCTTTTGGAACAGCTCGATAATCTCAGCCCGGGTAGAGCCCTGTCCAGGGATGCTGACGCCGTTCTTTGCGCGGGAGGCAATGTCAATCATATGCTTGAATTTCGGATGATTGAGTGCTTCAATAGGCTAATCCCACTCCAGTCAATATGTGGATATGACCTTGAATGCGCAAGACATACCTGGTCTGTCGCAATTAGCCAGTCAAGAGCAGCTTCTTTAAAGACTTCGTCAGTATACATCACCAACTTTTCGCGGGGTGGCGGCTCGTGGAGGTGCTTGTCGAGAGTTGGCTGTGATGCTGCGCCACTCGCGATCGCAGCAGCATCCTTGCGAGCCTTTCGGTCCTTCGGAAGCGCTGAGAGAAAACCGTTTTTCGTAGCCCACCTATGATATATAGCCTGAAAGCGATGAGTCACGTTAATCAACAAGGAAAATAGCATACTTCGTGTGTGGCCTCCATATGCCTACGAAGTGTAGTCGGCTGCGAGACTATGCTCTTATTACCACTGGAGCTCGAAGTAAGCAGAGAATGCTTAGATATTCATGACCACTTACCGAGGGCACACGAGACATAGCCGGCGTGATTGCACTTTCCCGCCCTGCCCACCGTCCTGGTATATGGGACCAAAGAAATGGTCCAAGTCCTTGTTCGTGTCCTCCTTCTTCTTTCGTCCCCCAGTCAGTGCTGTAAGCTGTATGTCGGCAAGAAATCTGTCATCGTCTAACATATCCGGATCGGCCTGAGTGGTCGTGGAAGTTGCCGTGTTATTGCCTGATGAGAACTTCATTCGATACACTGAAGTGTCCGAGCAGCGACGTACCTTCGGCGCCCCCAGTAGTTGTCTCGGGAACACCCTTGCGGAAGCCTGAGTTGCCTTGGTGAGTCTTCAAAAACCAAGGACCTCCAATTACGCACGACTCTTGATAGGACTTCGTGGCAATGATGTCGTCGTCACTTTGACCCCCTTCACTGGTGTTTGTGGGACCAGCACCTGCTTTTTCTTTCGTTTTCCGGGAAGCACAATAGCTGAATGTGTAGTTGTTATCAGCTCACTACTCGGCAGGAATCTATACATCACTCACGAGTATCCGATTCCTCCAAGTCAGATCCATGCACGTCGATGGTGCTTGTCGATGGCGGGGGATCCTCGTAACTGAGAGCACGGCTGGATTTGGTGCGCGAGCGGGCAGTGTCGATGAGCAATGATGGGTCGGGGACATCTCGTGGCCCGGGGGGCATTTTGTGGTCGCTACTAACAAATGTGAGCGATTTTATAGCCTAGCCCGCCATCGCCCAAGACTACCTTCAAACCCGAGCAGAGCGGCCGTTTCCAGGTGGGAGGACCTTGGAAAATACCCGCTTAGTGGTAGCAGAGCCCATCGCTGCCCGTAGGTTGTCGGAGATGATGAGTAAACAGCAAGCAAGAGGCCGCGTCATCACCAGTGACAGCTGTGACATGATACCGCCAACACGTGACACAGGCCACTGGCTTTTGGCCTGGCTTTGGCTGGCCCAGCGCATAAGCTAAACCAAAAGCCACCACAGGCCGGAAATTTTGGCTTGGCTTGGCTTTGGTACCAAAGCCAAAAAGCCATGGCTTTTTCGCCTGAAGCCAACGCCAGTGAATCAATAAATGCACCTTTATATTATTCTTCAATAAGTAAGATATTTTTTTCATTCATACAACACCTAAAGCTGGGGCGTAGCCCCAGCGCTGTCTAGTAGTCTTTATCTAGTAAACACATGACCTGATGAAATGATTGCCAGCATAACCAATTTTGCCTGTAACTACCTCTAATGCACCGAAGAATAGCACATTCACGGATTTTGAATTTCTGTGATAGGCAAAAAAAACTTGAAACAACGGATTTGTGAATACCAGCAAAATAGGACATATATAGGACCTTGGCATAATGTAACCATAATGATATTTATTCATAATTACATTCCATTTCATGGATGATTATGGAGGGGTAAATTATCCTCCTATTTAATTGATTGTACTTGAAACATAATCTGGCAAAATATAATTCTGGACAGCATTAATCAGCACAGGTCTTAAGTTTTTTTTTCTGCAATATATATTATTATATTTCCACCTTTGGCTTGTTGTTGCTTGTTTGGTCTTCTTTGTTCCTATTCGGTAGTTGTTCCAGATCTCTCCCTTTATGTGTTCCCAAGTTCCTATATGGTTCCTTCTACCTCACAACTCCACTTCTCCTGTCAGCCCATTAATTCCGCACGCACAAATCACAAAACTTATCTCCTTCCCCACCTTCATGGACAAGCGGGCCAAGCCAAGCCCTCTTGTGGTCAGCAGCTGGATTGGGATATGCGAGGATACAATTGAATCACTTGAGGCTTTCAACGCCAACCATGGCTTAACGTAACTTTATCACACTGGCTGGCTTGAAGCAATCAACTTGTGTGCCATCCTGTGCCAGCGCTACTGCACGGAAGCCAACTTCACTGCAACTTTGCTCTGGAGGAACACGGCCTGCATGGTGACGGCAGGGAGTAGATGTGCGTTGGCCGCAAGGGTCATATAGATTTATCGATGGCATGTGTCATCGACTTAGAGTATGTGCCAATTGATACCTGATAATTGCTTCTTTAGCATGGTAATGTCTCTAGCGTGTGCTGATGCCCGACGTGATAAGTACTGGTAATTCATCATGTTCCCTGCCATGAAAAGAAATAGATACAAACAATGAGTCATGTAGGTTCGAGCCTCGGTCTGACACATCAAATATAAGTAGATTCTGAAGATGGAAAGAGAAGATAAAGATGTCGCTGACAGACGCTGATTGTCAGAAGCACAGCAATTTTCTATTTGCCGGGCTCCCGCGCCATGTCATTGTTCCATTGTTATATTGTTTCCATCAGCGGATCTGTCCAGCTGTTGGCACTGTGGCATCCAGCTGCTGCCATATTCAATTCCAGCCGCTGCCAGCTGGGAAATGCAGCTGATAATTTTTAGGTAGGTTATCAGGGGAACCCCGCTTTGGCCTCCTTCAGACCGCCTGAGCGCATCCGAGGCATGTCCGATCAGCGCCCCCTCAGACGCTCCAACCCACCCTGACCCTCGTCCTTGGCCTCCTTCGCCCGCACAATCACCGATCCGTCAAGACCCTCCCAACAATCACCTTGGGACAGAGCCTGTGACACCACTCAGGCCTTCTGCACTCTACATCGGCAGTTACGGAGGACCAGTATATAGTTGGCGCCCTAGCAGGCAGACCCTTAGAGTTTTCTTCTCTTTGGATCCCAATTGGATCCTCCCCTGCTAGGTTGGTCCCTCCGTGTATTCGCTGTAGCTTTTATTCACACTTTGGATCCTCCCCTGCTAGGCTTTTGTCAGAGTCTCCAGGATTGCCCTTACATAGGTAAACATGTTATTCATAGGATTCAGACACACTGATATGTGTTTAGATCTAAGGTGGATACATTACAATCATGATGGTGTGATCCGAGGTCCGGAGATTACATCAGCAAAATAAGGACCTTGTTTCGAGGCCTAGTAAGGCCTTGAAAACATTAAAATTGGCGAAATACGCCATAATCACTCACCAGCGTGTCGCGGCCTCAAGCGGCCTTACGAATGACCTTCGAATTGTGTCGATTGCGAAAACGGCAAGGCTTGCGATGGCTCGCCCGGCCTTCGGAGCTTGCGCAAACTCTCGCCGGGTCTTGCAAACGACCTCCGTGTTGCAAACCTATTGCCGAGACCGCGATAGATAATGGGGTTGGTGGAGTATTGTCCGGGAGTAGTGAGACGATATCAGTCATTCAGCAGACTTTTGTAAAATGCAAACATGGTGAATTCAGAGGGTAAAACAAACAGGCTGTAATGTAATATACACGACAGGCTGTAAGGGCAACCCCGGAGGCCTGAGATCAAGGTCCTAGCAGGGGAGGATCCAAAGCGTGAACATTGGTAAGCGAATACAAATGAAGCTGACCTAGCAGGGGAGGATCCAAAGAGAAGAAACTCTAAGGGTCCGCCTGCTAGGTAGCTGACTATATACTGCTTGTCCGTAGCTGCCGCTGTCGGGCACAGAAGGCTTGGGCGGCGTCGCAGGCGAGGTCCCAGGGCGACCGTCGGGAGGGCGTTGACGGATCGGTGATTGTGCGGGCGAGATGGAGGGCCGGACCGGAGACGGAACCGGAGTCGGACCGGAATCGGAGGCGTCTCCGAGGGGCCGAAAGGGAGGTTCCCCTGACATCACCCCCCCCCTTTGAATGCGGCATCCCGACGCATAGACCGGAACGGAATCGAGTCGAAGGTCGCGGAGGCGATGTGTCGTGGCTTGCCAGGGTACTTACGATAGAACTCCGCAATTTTCTCCGGGGCGAAGACGCGGTCGAAGCGGACCTATTGGTCGTGCGATGCGTCGTAGCCTTTCCATCTGACGAAGTAGTTCAGCCGCTTATACCTCACCCTTGCGTCCAGGATTTCCTCTACTTCCCACTCCGGGACTCCGTCCTCGAGGTCTGGAGGGGGCTGGTCGTAGCCGGGGCGTCCATCAAAGGGGTCGTCTTGAGCGAGCTCGAGCTTGACAACGGGGAAGACCGGGTGGAGCTTCGAGTAGCGCGGAGGGAGGTCGAGCTTGTAGGCACCTTTGCTGATCTCCGCGACTATCTTGAATGGTCCCAGACGGCGGTGGGAGAACTTTTCCGAAGGGCGAGTCGTCCTGATGTCAGAGGCATCCAGCCAAACACGGTCGCCAACCTTAAACTCCGGAGACGGAGTGCGTCTCCGGTCGTAGTAGCGCTTGTACTCCTCTTTGGCTTTGGTGAGCGCGGCCTTGGCTTCGGCAACCCCAGTGGCAATGCGGTCGCGGAACTCGTTCACTGACTCCATAGCGGAACGGACTCCGGGTTCGAAGCCCATGCGCGGGAGTTGTCCTGTGTCCGTCATAAAGGGGACTTGTTGCGTGGAGGAGTGAACGTGGTTGTTGTAGGCAAACTCCGCGGCCGGAATCAGCTCGTCCCAGTCGTCCTGCTGATAGTTGGTGAAGATCCGCAGATACTGCTCTAACTCCTGGTTGACGCGCTCTGTCTGACCGTCCGTCTGTGGATGATACGCAGTGGACGTGGCAGGCTTGATGCCGATTAGACGCCAAAGTTCTCGGGTGAAGTCCGCGATGAACTGTGAGCCGCGGTCGGAGACGTACTTTTCTGGAGTCCCATGATGGCGCCAGACGTTCCGGTAGTAGAGGCGGGCTGCTCCTACTGCGTCGACCGTGGTGTGGCACTCTGAGAAGTGGGCTCGCTTTCCAAGGGTGTCCACAACGACCATGATCGCGTCGTACCCATGCGCCTCAGGGAGCTCGACGATGAAGTCGACGGAGACGGTATGCCAGCGCTCCGGGGGTGTTTCCGTCAGGTGCAGCTCTCCGTGGGGCAGTCTCCGGAGTGCCTTGGTCCGACAGCACAAGTCACAGGTCGCAACATACCGGCCAATATGGCGAGACATCTGAGGCCACCAGTAGTTCCGGGAGACCAACTCCAGGGTCTTGAAACGACCTGCGTGTCCGGCGACTCGGGTGTCATGGCAGAGCTCGATGATGCGTCTCCGGAGGTCCTTGTCCTTTGGTACGACGATCTTTCCTCGGAAATGGAGAAGACCGCCAGAGACGGCCCACTCGTCAGAACGTGAGGAGCGGGGGCCTCGAGCTTGACCTTGGACCTTAAGGAGTTGCCGGGCCGCTAGTGCGACGGGCTCTTCCAGATCAGGCTCACCAGATAGGGCGTCACGAATGTCGCGAAGGAGTTCGGAACCGGGGCCAGAGACGGAGACGCCTTCGAGTGTGCGGACGTGGAAGAGTTCGGGTCGCAGGAGGACGACGTCGGAGTTGTCGGAGTTGATTCCATGGTCAGGTCTCCGGGAGAGAGCGTCAGGTCGGCCCATGTCGCGACCGGGTTTGTGGTGCAGTGTGAAGTCGAACCGGGAGAGGTAAAGGGACCAACGGGCTTGTCTCCGGTTGAGGTGCTGCGTCTTCCTGAAGTACTCCAAATTCTTATGGTCAGTCCAAATCTCGACAGGGTGCGCGGCGCCCTCGAGGAAGTGTCTATACTCCTCGAGTGCGCGGATGATCGCGAGCATCTCCTTGTCGTGGATTTCGTAGTTGTGCTGGACATCATTTAAGCTTTTGGAATAGAATGCTATAGGGTGCCACTTCCCGTCCGGGGCGGATTGTGAAAGAACCGCCCCCGTCGCATAATCAGAGCTGTCC